ATTTCTTCTGATACTATTCCAAACAACAGAAAAAGGGGGAGTCTCCTCTAACTCATTTTATGAGGCCAGCATCATTCTGATACCAAAACCTGGCAGAGACACACACAAAAAAAGGAAATTTCAGGCCAATATCCCTGATGAATACCAATGCAAAAATCCTCAATAAAATACTGGCAAACTGAATCCAGCAGTACATCAAAAAGCTTATCCACCACAATCAAGTCAACTTCATCACTGAGATACAAGGCTGGTTCAACAGATGCAAATCAATAAATGTAATTGATCACATAAACAGAACCAATGATAAAAACCACAGATAATCATCTCAATAGATGCAGAAACGGCCTTTGATAAAATTCAACAGCACTTCATGCTAAAAACTCTCAATAAACTAGGTATTAATGGAACCTATCTCAAAATAATAAGAGCTATTTATGACGAACCCACAGCCAATATTGTATTCAATGGGCCAAAGCTGGAAGCACATTCCCTTTGAAACTGGCACAAGACAATGATAACCTCTCTTACCACTCCTATTGAACAGAGTATTGGAAATTCTGGCCAGGGCAATCAGGCAAGAAAAATAAAGAAACGGTATTCAAACAAGAAGAGAGGAAGTCAAGTTGTCTCTATTTGCAGATGACATAATTGTATATTTAGAAAACTCCATCACCTCACCCCAAAATCTCCTTAAGCTGATAAGCAACCTTCAGCAAAGTCTGAGGATACAATCAATGTGCAAAAATCACAAGCATTCCTATACACCAATAAGAGACGGACAGCCAAATCATGATTCCCATTCGCAAATGCTACAAAGAGAATAAAATACCTAGGAATACAACTTACAAGGGATGTGAAGGGCTTCTTCAAGGAGAACTACAAAATATTGCTCAAGGAAATAAGAGAGGACACAAACAAATGGAAAAATATTCCATGCTCGTGAATAGGAAGAATCAATATCATTAAAATGGACATACTGCCCAAAGTAATTTACAGATTCAATGCTATCCTCATCAAGATACCACTGACCTTCTTCACAGGATTAGAAAAAACTACTTTAAATTTCATATGGAACCAAAAAAGAGCCTGTATAACCAAGACAATCCTAAGCAAAATAAATAAATAAATAAATAAATAAATAAAGCTGGAGGCATCATGCTACCTGACTTCAAACTATACTGCAAGGCTACAGTAATCAAAACAGCATGGTACTGGTACCAAAACAGGGATATAGACCAATGGAATAGAACAGAAACCTCAGAAATAACATCACACATCTACCAGCAACTGATCTTTGACAACCCTGACAAAAACAAGGAGTGGGGAAAGGATTCCCTACTTAATAAATGGTGTTGGGAAAACTGGCTAGCCATATGCAGAAAACTAAAACTGAACCCCTTCCTTACAACCTTATACAAAAATTAAGATGGATTAAAGACTTAAACTTAAGACCTAAAACTATAAAACCCTAGAAGAAAACCTAGGCAGTACCATTCAGGACATAGGCATGGGCAAAGACTTCATGACGAAAACACCAAAAGCAATGACAACAAAAGCAAAAACCGACAAACGAGATCTAATTAAACTAAACAGCTTCTGCACAGCAAAAGAAACTAGCATCAGAGTGAACAGGCAACCTACAGAATGGGAGAAAATTTTTGCAATCTATCCATCTGAAAAATGGCTAATATCCAGAATCTACACAAAAATTTAAATTTACAAAAAAAAAAACCCATCAAAAAGTAGGCAAAGGATATGAACAGACATTTCTCAAAAGAAGACATTTATGTGGCCAAGAAACATATGAAAAAAAGCTCATCATCACTCATCATTAGAGAAATGCAAATCAAAACCACATTGAGATACCATCTCATGCCAGTTAGAATGGCAATCTTTAAAAAGTCAGGAAACAACAAATGCTAGAGAGGATGTGGAGAAATAGGAACGCTTTCACACTGTTGGTGGGAGTGTAAGTTAGTTCAACCATTGTGAAAGAAAGTGTGGCAATACCTCAAGGATCTAGAACCAGAAATGCCACTTGGCCCAGCAATCCCATTACTGGATATATACCCAAAGGATTATAAATCACTCTACTATACAGACACATGCACACATATGTTTATTGTGCCACTGTTCACAACAGTAAAGACTTGGAATCAACCCAAATTCCCATCAATGATAGACTGGATAAAGAAAATGTAGCACATATACACCATGGAATACGCAGCCATAAAAAAGGATGAAGCTGGGATGTCCTTTGCAGGGATACGGATGAAGCTGGAAACCATCATTCTCAGCAAATACAGGAACAGAAAACCAAAGATTGCATGTTCTCACTCGTAAGTGGAAGATGAACAATGAGAACAATGGACACAGTGGGGGAACATCACACACCAGGCCTGGTGGGGGGAGATGTGGGGGGATAGCATTAGGAGAAATGCCTAATATAGATGACGGGTTGATGGGTGCAGCAAACCAACATGGCATGTGTATACCTATGTTAACAAACCTGCACGTTCTGTACATGTATCCCAGAACTTAAAGTATAATAATAATCAAAAAAGAAACATGAGAAAACTATACTAAGGCACATAATATTTAAATTGCTTAAAACCAGTAATAAAGAGATAATCTTAAAAGCAGCCAGTGAAAAAAGATACTATATTGCACCTACCATTTTTTGAGAGGAACAAATAAAAGAATGGTAGCAGACTTCTCATCTGAAACAATGCAAGCCAGAAAACAATATAGCAACATCTTTAATTTGCTGAAAGAAAAAAATTAGTTCAAGCCTGGCAGCACTATTTTGTTACTGCTGGAGAAGGTGTGTGCCCTATTCCGTAAATCACATTAGAAATTCTCACCAAGAATTCTTGCTAATACTAACAACAAAAGTGAAAGAAATTCTTATTATTTGAAAAGTAGTTAAGAAAGAAACAGATGAATCCTTTCACTTTCACGTTGAAGGTAACTGTAATGCAGTTAGTTCAGGATCAATCTTAAACTACCTTGAAAGGAAACTATGGAAGAAGGGTCTGAGGCAGATTTTAAACATTCAGATGAGGACACTACAGCTTGGAGTCAGCAAGTCTGGCTTGATTAACATCCCCAGGAAGAGGTTATTCTGGGAATGCTGATTCAGAGAATAATGTGCAAGATCTTAAGGAGATGAAGATAATCTTGTTCAAAAGCTAGAGCAGAAGGAAGAGTATATAGCTGGAAAAAATACAACTGATAATTTACTTGTAAACAGATGATGAGTGGAAAATAAAACAGAGTAGGATTAGTGAAATAAGCTACCCAAAGAGACTGGGGTTACCCAAGTTTAGAGGTAAACCTTTTGAATATATAACTTATTACCAATGAGGAGGATTTCCTTGAGCCATGTTTATGACCTCAGCAATAATCTCTAAGAGAAAGGTCCTGAAGGTAGGATGGGACCCTGTTCCTGAGTGGGTAGACTATGAACCCCTAGCCCACAAGATCATGATTAAGTAACAACAAAATAACCAATATCATCCAAGTCAAAGAAGAGCCATAGAATAATGTGACCCTTCCCACTACTCCCCTCAACAAAAGTCAGTCCAAGGATTTGAGATCGGTATGCAAAGCATTTGAAGTATATTTTTTTTTTTTATGAAAAAATAAAACTGCTCTTATATGTTTGGAAGAAAGAAGTTTAGCTTTGAGGTCCTCTATTTCCAGCTGTTGCATACGGGTCTTCTAAGCCTTTTGTGAGGTTATTTTATCCAACTCATTATCCTTTCTTTTAAGATGTACTACTTCACTCAGTATATACTGTACATCTAGTATCAAAGCTCAAAGGCCACTGCTCAGAGAGGAAGTACAAGATGCTCCTGTTCTTCCTGATGGAGTAAAACGAGGCTGATATGATGGCTGTCTTACTCTAAGTGGTGGCAAAGAAAGGACTAAACCAGGTGCTAAATCTGAAGATGGTCAGTAGGCATGTCCTAGACCATGATGAAGGAACCAGTTGTCAAGGTAGCTCACTATGTTCCATAATCATGGGTAAATCTGTACACAGGACACTGGTGGTCCAACTACACAAGGGTTTTGCTTAAAAAGCAGTAGCGGTGGTAGGAATCAGCTTTGTAATCACAGGTCTTGGCACTGCGATTACGTTACATGGAGTCTGGCCTGGGGTGTGATACTACCACAAGAATCATGAGACCTAGAAGGAAGCTGCCGCTGCTGAAGTCCCTAACTCATCTTACTTTTAGGATAAGACATGTTATCCAAATGTGTGGAGTGGGAACAACCAGAATTAAAATCACCTAGGGTGAAATAGACTTTTATGTCTCCAGCCTAAATCTAGATCAGAATCTTGCAAGTGGAGCTCAGGAATCTGTATTTTTACAAGTTCCTATGTCTTTTTTACTCACGTTAATATTTGAAAATCAATGGTCTAGATGCACACTGTCCAATATGGTAGTCACTAGCTATATGGGCTATTAAATTTAAACCAGTCAAAATTAAATAAAATGTACAATTCAGCTCTTTAGTTGTACTAGGCACATTTCACGTTCCACAGCTGCATGTGGCAGTGACAGCACATTTCCAACACTGCAGAAAGTCTATTAGCCAGCACCGGTCTAGACTTTGTATTTGGGACAAAGACATTTAATTATCCTCAAGTGTGGCAGACAGACGTAGAATTTCTTAAGGACTAGATTTTGGAGGGTAATGCATGGAATTTGAATGTATGTGCATTCATGTGCATGCCCAGGGTGGAGGGGGTGCTACCTGGGCAGCGAGACTGGGACACTGCAAATGAAATAAAGAGGGAGACCACTTCCTTTAACCTGTTTTGGCAGAGCTGGTTTGGCCCAACCATAATGAACCAGAAGGTTATCTTAACCAGAAGATCAAAAAGAGGAAGGTCTGGAAAAACTGACCTCATAAGAACGAACAGGGACATTGTTTGTATCTTTGGAAAAACCTAGATTCAAAGAGTCATAAATTAAATAGACAAACTCTACCTTTGCTCTTCGGGAAGAGCAGTACTCTATCCAGCTGAGGTAAATCACACAAAAACTCTCCCTAGATATGCCTGCCAGTCGGTGGTCATAGTCTTCATCAATGTTTGGATTAAAGGTCGGGTCCACATCGACATAATTACGATCTGCACACAGACGAAGTCCTTCTTGCATTGTCTCATTAGCTAGCCACTCCTCTAGCTTAGAAGAGGTCGTAACATAATAAATGATACCCTAATATGAACAAGAGAAAAAAAAGAATTCAGATTAAATCACTATTTCAATGAACTAAAATTCCTCAGTGAAATAAATTCCAATTATTTATAATGATAGTATGACTAAAAAGTATTTTATTCTCCCTCAATATTCTACATATATATTTTCAGAACACTGTAATAATATAACTCAAGCCTTACTGGATGAAAAAACATTTAATACTTTAAAATCACAACCATAAATTCAGCAGAGTAACTTCAAAACAATTCTATTTATTTTATTTTATTTATTTCTTGAGACAGAGTCTCACTCTGTTACCCACGCTGGAGTGCAGTGGTGAAATCTCGGCTCACTGAAACCTCTACCTCCTGGGTTCAAGGGATTCTTGTACCTCAGCCTCCCAAGTAGCTGGGATTACTACCACATCTGGCTAATTTTTAAATTTTCAGTAGAGGTGGAGTTTCAGTATGTTGGCCAAGCTGGTCTCAAACGGCTGACCTCAAGTGATCTGCCTGCTTCAGCCTCCCGAAGTGCTGGGATTACAGGTGTGAGCCACCAAGCCTGGCCCTAATCTATTGATCTTAGAGCTTTTGAACTTAAGATATTTCAAAGGGGGTTAAACAAACACACACACACATACACAAACAAAAACACTTTACTTTGGTGCATTTATGTTGAAAAATTTCCTTATAGAGACTTATTAAAGCCATCTGGTGGTCCTAGGTCAAGTTATAGAGATATATATTTAGAACTATAGACAGAAAATGCCACACGCACACACGAGTAAAAAAAATATCATGAAGTCAATCTCTAGCTTCCTGAGGTTAGGTTTAACCAAACATTAAATGGAAGGCTCAACATTCATCCCAATCAGCAAATAAGGTGGTGGAGAGAGGTAACAATATAAGATATGAAAATTTCAGGCTGGGCATGGTGACTCATGCCTACAACCCCAGCACTTTGGGAGGCCAAGGTGGGAGAACTGTTGGAGCCCAGGAGTTTGAGAGCCTGAGCAACATACCAAAACCTCATCTCTACAAAAATAAAAAATTAGCTGGTAGCATACACCTGTAGTCCCAATTACTCAGGAGGTTAAGGTGGATGTATTGCTTAAGCCCTGGAGGTCAAGGCAGTGGTGAGCTACAACTGTGTCACTGTATTCCAGCCTGGGCAGCAGAATGAAACACTGTCTCAAAAAAAAGAAAAGAAAAGAAAAGAAAAGTGTGAAAAATTCAGATATTGGTAATTAAAGCTTAGCAAACACTTTCTTCTTAAAAATAGTGGCTTCACCTAGAAGCCTCTAAATCACAACCATACTGTATTTCTGTAAACTCTTTAGCAAAAACATCTGGTACAGTAAAGGACTAACCTTGCCCAACTAGAGGATTGGCCTTTACCCTTAGGTTCTAGGGGATAACCTCTAAGCCTTGGGATGCCCTGCCTGTTAAAGAGTCCTTGTTCAGCTGGGAGCCTAGAGCCACACAGTATCACCAAGATCTCTGGGCGTCCTGGATACTTAAGTTGGCCATGTGGATGGTCAACCTTGCCTACATGACAGGACACCAAGTGCAGGCAAGCTTCCTTGGTGGACAACATGCTGTGAGTACTGCCATGCTTCACTGCTGGGAGAAACAGGCATCTGCACAACTCTGCTGTGAGAAGACAACTGGAAGCCCCTTGATCGGTGTCTCTGCACAATATCCTATGTACCTCTTCCTTTGGCTGATTTTAACCTGTGTCCTTCCACTGTAATAACATGAGTGTAATGTATGACAACTTTGCTGAGTTCTGCAGTCTTTCTAGCAACTTAATGAACCTATGAGTGGTCTTTGGGACCCTGAAATTACAGTTTATGTCAAAAGTGAGGGTGGTCTTGGGGACCTCTTGAATTTTGCAATACTTTTATTCAGTTTATTGAATGAAAGCAGTGCAAAGCAGTGGTCAAGAGCAAGGTCTTAAGATTCAGACAAGCCTGGGTTTTAATCCCAAATTCTGCTTGTTAGAGGACCCTGGGCAAGTTAACTTCTGATCCTTACGTTGTTTATTTGTAAAATAGGGAAATACTTCTCTACAGAATTAAGATACACATATGTGTGTATGCATATTTGTATATACATATTCCTTAGCACAATGCCTAAAACACAAGCTACAAATGTCTAGTTATTATTAATGAATGAATGGATGAATTCTAGTAAACAAAGAAAAAGCAAGACCTTAGTAGATTTATTTTTATGGACTTTTCTGGATCCTAGAGAATTTAAATAAGTACTTAGAAGCAAAGCACAAGTTTAAAAAAAAGTGTGTGTGTGTGTGTGCGTATGTGTGAATATATATATGGATATATATACACACACACGCACACACACACACACATATATGTCATTCCCAAGAAGAAACTGATTATCTGAAGATCTAAGTAGGCACATACTCTTACCTTGACATAGTAAGTGGTGAGTACTTTCCGAAGATCAAAGACTTGAAGCATAGAAGCCGCGCTATTATCAGTGATGCTATAACCCTCTAGAATATACTTTGTGACTATCACTTCCCAAGCTAGCCATCGCTGGCTAAATGCAGCATTAAATGAAAGCATGTGAGGAATATGGCCAGGTTCACAACAGCAAAATCCTTCATCTTCCTCTACACCTTCGGTAATGGCCTCCACTTCCCGTTGTTGACAGTAGGTACCTTAAAAAGAGAGAGAGAGAGAGAGAGAGAGAGAGAGAGAGAGAGAGAGAGAAAAGAGAGAGAGAGAGAGAGAGAGAGAGAGAGAGACCATTACAAAGGGGAAAAACCAGAAAATGGGAAAAATGAATGCAAGTACACCTGAGATTTAGAAAAAATACACATTTTATAGCAATTGAAAGTATGTGATGGATTTGCCTTAGAATATTCATTAATGAATTGTAGCAAACTCCAGAAATCAGGCATATTCTATATTCATATCCTGCAAAAACACAATGTGCATTAGCACACTATGGGTTCTGAAAATTTGTGTGGTAAAGTAACTTTAATTTTGACTTATTTCTAAATGTTTCAAATGGGTTTACAATTCTGTTTCTATCAAATAAAGAACTAAAGAGAAAAGGCATGTTTCCTGAAGGTCTCAGTTAATTTTAAAAATACAAAAATCAGTGGGATGTTATTGAAGTAAAAATACAAAAATTTAATTACTATCACCAACATTTCCATAATAACGTTACATAGTGTTGACAAGAAAAACCCTTGACTTGAACCTGACATTGATATAAATACATGCTGTGGGTGACTATGTTATAAGATACTCCCTAAAAATATACAGGCATACACTGTTTTATTGTGTTTTGCTTGATTGTTCTTTGAAGGCACTGTGATATCTACAAACTGAAGATTTGTGACAACCCTATGTCAAGAAAGTCTATTGGTACCATTTTTCCAACAGCATGTGCTCACTTCCTTTTTTCTGGATCACATTTTGGTAATTCTCTCAATATTTCAAACATTTTACTACTATTGTATCTATAATGATGATTTGTGATCAGTCATCTTTAATATGACTGTTGTAACTATTCTGAGGTACCATAAGTTATGCCCATATAAGATGGCAAACTTAAATTGACAAATGGTGTATAAAGTCTGGCTGCTCCATTGACAAGTCATTCCCCCATTCCCTCTTCTCAGGTCTTCCTATTCCCTAAGACACACAACAATATTGAAATTTAGCTAATTTTTAACACTACAATGGCCTCTAAGTGTTTAAGTGAAAGAAACAGTCACATGTTTCACTTCGAATCAAATGCTAGAAATAAGTAAGCTTAGTGAGGAAGGCATGTCAAAAGCCAAGTGCATTAGTCTGTTGTCATGTTACTATAAAGAACTACCTGAGGCCAGGTGCGGTGGCTGATGCCTGTAATTCCAGCATTTTGGGAGGCTGAGATGGGTGGATCACGAGGTCAGGGGTTCAAGACCAGCCTGGCAAACATGTTGAAACCCCATCTCTACTAAAAAACACAAAAATTAGCTGGGCATGGTGGCGCATTTCTGTAATCACAGCCACATGGGAGGCTGAGGCAGGAGAATTGCTTGAATCCAGACTGGGAGGTGGAGGTTGCAGTGAGCTGAAATAGTGCCACTGCACTCCAGCCTGGGCTACAGAGCTACACAGCGAGACTCTGTCTCAAAAAAACAAACAAACAACAACAACAACAAAAAACTACCTGAGATGGGATAATAAAGAAAAGAGGTTTAATTGGCTCACGGTTTCACAGGCTGTACAGGAAGAATGGCTGGGGAGGTCTCAGGAAACATAATCATGGTAGAAGGTGAAGGGGAAGGGGAAGCAGGCATGTTTTACGTGCTGGAACAGGAGGAAAAAGGCTAAGGGGGAAGTGCTACACACTTTTAAACAACCACATCACGTGAGAACTCACTATCACAAGAACTGCAAGGGGAAAAATCTGCCCCCATGATCCAGTCACCCCCTATCAAGCCCCTCCTCCAACAATGGGGATTACAATTCAACATGAAATTTGGGCAGGGACACAAATCCAAACTATATAACCAGGACAGGCCAAAAGTTAGGCCTCATGCACCAAATAGCCAAGTTGTGAATGGAAAGGAAACATTCTTGAAGAAAATTAAAAGTACTACTCCAGTGAACACATAAAAGAAAGCAAAAAAGCCTTACTGCTGATATGGAGAATGTTTGAATGGTCTGGAGAGAACATCAAACCAACTATAATATTTCCCTAAGCCAAAGCCTAATCCAGAGCAAAGTTCTGTCTACAATTCTACGAAGGCTGAGAAGCAACCAAGCTGCAGAAGAAAAGCTGGAAGCGAGATTTAAGGAAGCTGTCTTCATAAAAGAAAAGTGCAAGGTGAAGCTGCAAGTGCAGACACTGAAGCTGCAGCAAGTTATCCACATCTATCTGAGATCACTGATGAAGGTGGCTACACTACATTACAGAGTTTCAAAACAGACTGAACAGCCTTGTGCTAGAAGAAGATGCCATCTAGGACTTTCACGGCTAGAAAGAAGTCAATCCCTGGCTTCAAATCTTCAAAGGACAGTCTGATTCTCTCAAAAGGGGTTAATGCAGCTGCTAAGTTTAAGTTGAAATGCTCATTTACCATTCCAAAAATGCTAGAACCTTTAAGAATTATGCTAAATCTCCTCTAACTGTGCACTATAAATGGAATAACAAAGCATGGATGACAGCACATCTGTTTATAGCATGGTTTCCCGGATATTTTAAGCCTACTGTTGAGACCTTCTGCTCAGAAAAAAAGACTCCTTTCCAAATATTACTGCTTATTGACAATGCACCTGATCACCTAAGAGCTCTGATGGAAATGTACAAGGACATTAGTGTTGTTTTCATGCCTGCTAACACAACATCCATTCTGCAGTCTGTGCATCAAGAAATAATTTCACCTGTCAAGTCTTATTACTTTAAAAATAAATTTTGTAAGGCTATAGCTGCCACAGAGGGATTCCTCTGATGATTCTGGGCAAAGTAAACTGACAACCTCCTGGAAAGGATTCACCATTTTAGATGCCAGTAAGGACATTCTATGATTCATGGGAGGAGACCAAAATGTCAACAGTTATAGGAATTTGAAAGAAGTTGATTCTAACTCTCATGGATGACTTTGTGGGGTTTCCAGACTTCAGTGGTGGAAATAACTGCAGATGTGACAAGAACAAGAGAACCAGAATTACAAGTGAAATCTGAAAGATGTATCTGAATTGCTACAATATCCTGATACAACATAAAGAGATGAGGTGTTGCTTCCTATGGTTGAGAAGTTTCTTGAGAAGAAATTGACTCCTGGTGAAGATGCAAGCCCTGGTTAAAATGACAACAAAGGATTCAGAATATTACATAAACTTGATTGATGAAGCAATAGCAAGGTTTGAGAACACTGACTCCAATTTTGAAAGAAATCATATTGTGGGTAAATGTTATTAAACAGCATCATATGCTACAGAGGAATCCTTCATGAAACAAGAGTCAATAAATGCAGCAAACTTCATTGTTGTCTGATTTTAAGATCTTGCCAACGCCCCCCCAACCTTCAGCAACCACCACCCTGACCAGTTAGCAGCCATCAACATCGAGGCAAGACCCTCCATCAGTAAAAAGATTACAACTCATCGAAGGCTCAGATGATCCTTAGCATTTTTTTTAGCAGTAAATTTTAAAAATTAAGATGTAGTACATTATTTCTTTAGACATAATGCTATTGTACATTTAATATACTACAATATAATGTGAATGTAACTTTTACATACAGTAGAAAACCAAGGAATCTGCATGACTGGCTTTATTGCAATATTTGCTTTATTGCAGTAGTCTGAACCCAAACATGCAGTATCTCCAAGGTATGCCTATACACACATATACATTTTTTTCAACATAGTAAGAACATATGCAATATTACAAAGTATCTTTTAAGCCAATAATAGAAATGAAATTTAATCAAATGTTTTCTGGCATCTTTTGAGAGGGTCATGTTTTACTAAAGCGATCTTTTAAAATAAAAATAGTTCTACAAATTTGTTATTTAAATTAATTTTAAAAATGGAAACATGGTTGAATGTTTTAGAGATACTGATATGGTTAGGCTGTGTCCTCATCCAAATCTCATCTTAAATTATAGCTCCCATAATTCCATGTGTTGTGGGTGGGACCTAGTAGGAGATAACTAAATCATGGGGGCAGTTTCCCCATACTGTTTTCATGGTAGTAAGCAAATCTCACGAGAGCTGATGGTTTTATAAGGGGTTTCCCCTTTTGCTTGGCTCTTAATTCTCTTGCCTGCCACCACGTAAGATGTGCCTTTCACCTTCTGCCATGATTGTGAGGCCTTCCCAGTCACATGGAAAAGTCCATTAAACCTTTTTTTTCTTTATAAATTACCCAGTCTCAGGTATGTCTTTATCAGCGGCGTAACAACTGACTAACGTAGGTACTTATAAACTAGTTTTTTGCTTATTTTGCAATTGCAGGATTGTTGCATCTATAGTCACAAACAAAATTAAAATATAGTTATTTTTTATGTGAACTTAGTCATATACATAACTTTTTTTTTCTTTGAGACGAAGCCTCACTCTGTCACCCAGGCTGGGGTGGAATGGCGTGATCTCGGCTCACTGCAACCTCTGTTTCCTGAGTTCAAGCAATTCTCCTGCCTCAGCCTCCTGAGTAGCTGGTATTACAGGCATGCACCACCACACCCAGCTAATTTTTGTATTTTTAGTAGAGACAGGGTTTCACCATGTTGGTCAGGCTGGTCTTAAACTCCTGACTTTGCAATCCAGCCACCTTGGCCTCCCAAAGTGCTGGGATTACAGGCATAAGCCACTGTGCTGGGGCCACTTAGTTATATTTTGATATCAGTATTATACTAGTTTTTCAAAGCTTTGAGAAATTTTGCTTTTTTTCTCCATGTGCTAAAACAAGTTAGAAATTTCTAGAAGAAAATTCCTGAGCCTTTTTTAAAAAATTGTGAAATGAAGTTGAGACTATTTCTTAGGTTTTATGTGTTATCACTTCATTTTTCCTTGTTTCTAGGAAGTTTATCAAAGATTTTTAAATGAGGAAATAACATGAGAGCTGTATTTTGTGAGGATCACTGTTAGTGGTGGACAGAAATCAGATGTGGCAAGAGGAAATGTAAAATTTTGGACATTTACTCAACTGAGG